TTAGTAGTAGTGCGGGTTTGTACCCCTCGCTACTACTATGGCATGTCGTGGAGTGAATTGCAAAAAACCACCACATTTGGGGCTTCATCTGCGGAAAACCACCGGGTCCCTAATCATTTGCAAAAATCACCGCACATTCAGTAAACATTTTGCAGTTTGCACTGAACATGTGATTTAGCCCATTTAATCACTTTCTGACATGTGGGGCCGGACTGTAAGGAGCTGACCTGGCAAAATAATCACACACACACCCCTAGTAGATTTTAGAAAAAGCAATCAGCCCCTGGACCATGCCCGGCAGAGCCCGGCTCCCGTCGCCGCCGCCGGAAGACGCCCACCGACCGGGCGGTCGCGGAAACGAGGAGGAGTCTGTGTAGCAGCGGGTGGGCACACCGGCCGGCGGCCACTCCGCAACCATGAGGGCCAGCAGCGCACTGTCGTCGTCGGGGAGCCGTAGCTCCTGTGCAGCGTCCGCGGTGTGGACTGCGCGGAGGCGGCCGCCCGGGAGCTCGGCCTTCTAGCCACGGCGGCGCCCGCCGGGATGCCGTGGCCGCACCTCGGTCTTCTACCAGGGAAGCCCAGCGCCGCTTGACGCCGTGGATGCGGGCCAACCTTCATGCGCTTCGGCCGCCGCCGCCGGTGGCTCCGCCCGTCTCTGGCGCCTCCTCCCCTCCTCCTACACCCCACTCTGCCCTTGCTCGCGCAGCGGAGCGTCCACGCCCGCAAGAGAGCCCCTCCGACCGGACTTCCCCGCAGCTCACCGCCGCCAGTTCACCGGGCACCACCGCAGCCCCCTCTCCCTCTCCTTCCTCCCCTGTCTCTCACGCAGCTCCCCCCCTCTCTCTCTCCAGGACGCTGGCCGAAGCCGGATCCACCGCCAGCCATTAGCCGCAACTGCCGGGAACAAGCTCTCCTGTACACGCCAGTTATGAGCTCGTACAGGCGCACAGCGCCACGACCATTCCCGGCGAGTGTGGAGCGAGGAAGGAGATGCCCTCCGTGGGGAAGGGGGAGGGGCTTGATTGCTTTTTTTATTAAGATCCACAGAGGTATATGTCAATTTGTTGCCAAATCAGCTCCTTACATTCCGGCCCCACTTGTCAGAAAGTGAATAAACGGGCTAAATCACCTGATTAGTGCTCTTTGCAAAATGTTTACTGAATGTGCGGTGATTTTTGCAAATGATTAGGGACTCGGTGGTTTTCCGCAGATGAAGCCCCAAATGTGGTGGCTTTTTGCAATTCCTTACCGTCCTGGGAGACCGCTTAGTATTAGCGCGGGTTAAAAACCTGTGCTACTAGTATCAACTTAGTAGTAGCGAGGGGTAAAAACACATGCTACTAATAAGGAGCAGTAGCGAGGGTTATAGACCCTCGCTACTAGTAAGCGTCTGCCTATAAGCTTTTCCCTAGTAGTGTTGCTGCCGACATATGCTACAGAACCTGGTCCGCTTGCTGAGCTCCTCGTACGGTGCCTTCTCACGGCTAGTTGTCGGGCGCCCAATTTCTTTCCTTTTCTTTGGCGCCAACAAACCACTGGTCTATTCCCACTCTCATTTGCAGAAGTAGCATCATCATTCACAATCCCGAAGCTTGCACCTCCACTTGCTGCAACAACTGTCGTATGTGCAGCAAGCTGGTCAGCATTCACATGGATATTAACACCATCTCCATGCTGACCAACCATGTCCTCCAGTCCCAGCCCATCCCTTATTTCCGAAAATGGTTCCATTTGGACGATGCAATCCTAGATGAAAGTCATGAATTTCTCATATGCTTCCACACTTGCATCGCCCATCCGAACCAACTCCATGGCATGCATATACATATTGAAATGCCTGAAGCTGAACGGATTTTTGTGAGCATTATCTTTCTGATATTGAGTAAGGTGAGCTGGCAGTATGTCCCGTGCGTCCCTGGTCTATCGCTTCACAATGTGTTTCTGCGGTATCTCTGTAACACCAGCACCTGCAACGATCAGTTTTGCCTCTTAGTACACAACAGATTGCACACACTGTATGCATATCTACAGTAAGAGATGCTTAATTTTCAGCAGTTACCATACCTTCACAACATTGGCTGCAAAGTAGCCCCATGTGTGCAAATTACCCGCACTCACAGGCGAATTCATCACCTCCTTCAAGAACAGTTACCTTATATGACACCCTACACCACTTCTCTCTCCTAGCAGCCTCGGTATGAATGGCAAGCACTAGTAGAAAAGGGGGCATCAGTCCCGGTTCGTAAGGGCCTTTAGTCCTGGTTTAATAAACCGGGACTAAAGGGTCGGGACTAATGCCTCCCCCTTTAGTCCCGGTTCTAACACGAACCGGGACTAAAGGTCGCGGCCACGTGGAGCTCCACCTTTAGTCCCGGTTGGTAACACCAACCGGGACTAAAGGAAATTTTATGATTTGTTACCAACCGGGACTAAAGGAAATTATATGATTTTTTGTTTTGAATTTTTTTTTTGAATTTTTTTTTATTTTCAAATTTCTGAATTATTTTAACCTCTAATCTCTAATCACCACCCCTCATCACTGCTCAATTTATCCTCTAATCTCTAATCACCCCTCATCATTCCAAATCATCTAACTTCCCGAACGGTCACCCATCCTCCCACTCCCCCAGCCTGAGCACGCTTAACTTCCGGTTTTTATTCTCCCTCGTTTCCAAGTCTGCACTTGTTGTTTTCCTGACAATAGTAAGATGTCAATCCTATTAACCCTCAGGAATTTTGCTTCACCATGAAGTGACACATTTCATTGTTTGAGTTTGAAACTATTGTTTTAAAAAACAATAATTATTTAGTAACACTAATATTTCTTGAATAATTAGTTTGACCAATGTTTGACCATTGTTTGACCACAGTTTGACCAGATTTGACCAAAATTCAAAATAACTGAAATAATTATTTAGTAACACTAATATTCTAGAATAATTAGTTTGACCATTGTTTGACCACAGTTTGAATTTTTTTCGATTTTTTCCACTCTAGATCTCAAAAGCCCCGTAACTTTTTTTCTGTTAGGTTTTTGAGGATTTTGAAAATGTTTAGCGGGGTTCCCCAGTTAAATTTGGATGTAACTTTTCGAGTAGATGATTTTTCATATAAAAAACTTTTTCATCCGAGTTCGTATGCAAAAGTTATGCCCATTTTACTAAATTTTAGAGAGATTTTGCAAATACAGTTGAAATTCATATTTGTAAATTTTCCCAACAACTAGACCATATATCACATGGGAAACTTATTTTCTTTTATTTTTTTGACATTTTCATCATTTTCTTTTATTTTTTAAAAAACTGAAAAGGCGATCCAGGGGGTGGAGTTTGAAAATGGGACCTTTAGTACCGGTTCGTGCCATGAACCGGTACTAATGCCTCAAACTCCATTAGTACCGGTTCGTGGCACGAACCGGGACTAAAGGTCTAACCCTTTAGTCCCGGTTGGTGCCACGAACCGAGACTAATGGGCATCGCACCCTTTACTCTCGGTTCGTGGCACCAACCGGGACTAAAAGGTCCAGACAAACTGGGACAAATGGCCCACATGGCCCCTGGGCGCACGAACCGGGACTAATGCCCCCATTAGTCCCGGTTCTAGACTGAACCAGGACTAATGGGCTAACCCGGGGTGGACCAAAACCCTCTTTTCTACTAGTGAAGATACAGTTTTCCTTTCTCAAGCTCCTCCGCTCCTCCACTTGGTATGCGCCGCACTCATAAAGAATATGTCCAAACTGCTCAAACATAGCTCGAGTGTATATCTTACTAGCATGTCTCTCTATAGCTAAGTTTGCTATGTACAGTGGTCTACCCTGAAACATAGATGCATCAAATCAGTGACCATGTTACTACCACACATCTAGTTGCAATTATCAAATATGACTTACTATCCGTGCCCGCTTCTCCTCGTAGTTCTCCTCAGCTTCCCTGTCAAATTGAAGTCTCATGTATTTCTTCACAAACATATGCATGGGACAACCGGGCGGTACATAGTTCTTCAACATGTGGTTTGCGCTTTCTCATCTTAGCACAGAAAACACCTTTAAAATAAGGCTTCGCCCACTTGTGTCTTATATAAATGATACAGCTGCCTCATGTAGTCGTGGGTCTTCAAATTATATTTCTCCACCAATATCTTCCAAGCTTCCTCAAATTCATCGATTGTAAGCATGTGATTTACTACCTTGTGGAATTCTATCCTGAACTCGCTATTCTTCGAGTACAACGAACCAAGTGATTCTTTTGCCTTCTTCAGCACATGCCACTTGCACCAACGGTGTGCCGTTTGAGGCATCACATTTTTAATGGCGACCTCCATAGCCCGGCATTGATCTGCACAACATCACACACCCCTGTTAGACAACAATGATCAGAAACCATTGGCACAGATAGTTTTTTAGAACATGGCATCACACCTATTAGAATTGTCTTGGGTGCAGTACCCCCCATCATCCTAATGAATTCTGTGAAAACCCACTCAAATGTCTCGACCTTTTCATCACGGACAAGAACACCGGCCAGGGTGATGCTCTAAAAATGATTATTCACACCCACAAACAGACCAAATGGCATGTTGTACAGGTCTGTTCCGTATGTCGTATCGAAGGTGACAACATCTCCAAAGAATGTGTGCTGCAACCTGCTGCTCCCATTTGCCCACATAAGAGTTGTTATCCAACCATCCTGGTCTGCCTGTACACGATAGGTGAAGTGAGGATTTCTTGAGCCCAGATCTGCGAACACCTCCATGGTCTTCCTCACATCATCCTCTGACTGCTCTCTACTGATTTTACCACACAAATTTTTCAGAGCTCTTTTTGTGAAAGGCACCCTTTCCATTGAACCAAAGAAGCTTCCAATTATGTTGTGTACTTTGGCTAGATTCACATTGTTCTGTCGCAATTGCTCCACCAAGTCTCTGCTGTAAGCATCAATGTGATTGTGTGAAGGCAAGTGTATTGTCTGTCCATATGTGGGAGATAGCGAATGGTTGTGCTATTCACGATGCTCAACTATGTACCAACCATTGTCCTTTGTGCGAAGCAGTCTTATTAATGTCGGGCATTCACATCGGCATGATCTTGTGTTTTCCACACCCGGTTTACCCTGCAGAAACCAGTAATACAAGCATAGACGAGTCAGGTTACACGAACCCCAGAAGTACAACACATGTAGGAAAATACTCCAGAAACAGAAAGTTCTAGAAATGCATACCGCACATCCGCAAACAATTTCCTGCATGCATTTTGTTCTCTCCACATTCAGCCTACTCTTCCCATATCTTATACCAAATCCCTTCTCCCACGAGCAGAGATTGTAGAAATCATAGGCCTCCCCGAGTGCATCAAAGCTTGTGCCCAGTGCTGGTACAATTACAATGCTCCCCGGCTTGTCACCAAACCCCCGAATTGCCTTCTCAAGGGCACTGGTTCGCCCAGGGCAAGGCGCCCTGCCAGGAGCAGCAGCTCCAATTCTAACCCTGCATTTCAAGGAATTTACTTCGTCATCATGATGAATGTTTAACTCGAATCTGCATTTTTTGGAAGCTTACCATATAAATTATGCTCTTCATTTTACTCTGTTTTAATAGACTGCCTCAACAACACCCCAATACTGCTATGCTTTTTCTTTTTCCCAGTACATCTGCTGGTGAAGCTATGGTGTCAGGGGTAACATATACACCAGTTCTAAATGTTATCCATCCGATTTCCTTATCCATCTTTCATAATTCCTAGAATATGCAACTGAACAATGTTTACATGCCTGATCACTCTATATTCACCTTGTCTAACTAGCTAACTTATAGTCCAGCCTACATTTTCTTCTGTACCCCATGTTTTTAGGTTTCGGTATACCAGTTTTTTCAAACCAAATTTGGTATGCATCCCATGCATCAGAATTTAGTATTCGCAAAACAGAGCATCACTACTACGCCCCTCTCTTTATTAATTCGTTGCTTCCAGTTTGTGTAGCGCTGGCTGGTATGAAAACACAGAGGCATCTCCCAATAATTCGTTTGTTTTTGCATATGTGTATACATCCTAGAGCAGAACTGACCAGCTTCTACGCAAGATGCCTGCGGCTCGGTGGATTTTTAAACTACACCTAAAATCATACGAACAGTCTCCAGTGCAAGAACTAGTACACACAGAGGTTACCTGCGAGTCCAGCCAGGTGTTTTTGGATCAACCTGGCCAATAGATTTCTCAGATGCCTGCGGTTCATCATCCCCCTCCGCCGCAACTGCCCCATCCGCCGCACAGATCTGCCCGTCAACGCTTCCAGTGGCCATTGGGGACAGCTCCTCCGCTGCTGTCGCAACCGCTGGGTAATGCACCGGCTCCATGAGCAGGGACGGCGAGCACCGGCAGCACCTGGATGGGTTGCCTCCAGGTCAAACTCCGTCTTCTCGCCCTCCAGAACGCGTAGATGAATACCAGCACCTGCGCAACGCAAGAGACGAATGAACAATCCGTATGAACATGCATAAATTATTTCTGAAATGACAAAAGCAGAGCAGATTGTCCATTCTAGGTTAACAGGCGTAAATTGTTTCTAAACATGGAGTAGTTACTAGTTTGAAACAAGCAAGAACATCACAGATTGTGCAGTCTTCGCTACATGCCGAAAGAGACGACGAATACTGAATTAATGATCACTGAATAACACTGGTTTCTAGTTTAATTTGTCGACAGAACTAGAGGCGAATTGCTCGAGCAAATTTCAGCGGTAGGTACTGCTGGATTTCTCCAGCCAAAAGTAAGAACTAAGGACTCATCCGTGATCGCTGGCAGCAACGGACGGCGAGCCGGCTGACTGCTGGACTTGGCTTGCGCATACAAGCAACCACTTGAAGCGCCCCCTCCCTCCCACCTGAACCAAGCTCTCTTGGGAGAGAGGGAGAACAAGAGCTAGCTCACCTTGAGGTTGAAGGAGACGAAGGCGAGCTTCCTGCCAACCCGCCTTGCCAGGCGCGACCGCACCGTCGCCTCCTGGTCCTCCTCCACCTCACCGTCGCGGGAGGCCTGGCCCCGGCGGCGCCAGACGGAGGCCGCGGCGTGGAGGCGGGACCAGACGCCAGAGAAGAGCCCCGCTGGCGCGTTGTCGCCGGCGGCGGCCATGGAGTTGGTCGGCGGGCCAAGGGTGGGAATCGGGAGTGGAATTTCGGCCGGCTTCCGACCAATCAGAGACGTCGTCGCCCACCACTGGTAGTTGGTTGTCGTTCACCTCCTCCATCACCGCGGACCTGTAGTCCAGCAAATCCTTTCTGGATCAGGACCAGTTGCAAAATCAACAAGCATAACGGATTGGGGGCGGGGCAAGAGGACCGGGGGTGAGGGATTTTTGCCTTACCTCCTAATTGGTAGCATCAGGAACTCCAACCACGAAACTCGCCGCCGTGTACTCCTTCTTCCGCAGATCTCCGAAGGCGTCAATGGGCAACACAAGAAAGCTTGACGAGAGGTGGGAGACAGCTCCGCCGTTGGTCTCAGGAGTCATTTACTGGCTTGCCCACCACCGACTGACGGAGATTCCAGTTCCTGAGCCACGGATCAGGGAATCCGGTTACGACCCGAGCCACGGCTCAGGGAAAACCCCGTCACGGGGCCATCTGCGGGCTCCGTCACCGGTGCTGTGTACGTGGCGGCAGTATACTGTATTCCCTCCCCTCGTGATTTAACAACGGTCGGCCAGCTGGCTCAGTAATTCAACGACACACATCCCAATGCGGTATCGACTGGTCTCGATAAAGTGCTCACCTGTGCTCGCGAGCAGAACAGCCGCTTCCAAAAAATCCAAGATTCAACCACAAGCTAGGAACGGTCAAGCCCGCCGTTTTGACCGCATTTTGAAACGGGCATAAAAAATTCAGAAAAAATCAAAAAATTGGAAAACCTTCGCATTGTGTCATTATATGTGACCATGTTTTCAGGAAAAATAATAAACTTGTAATACGGTAAATATTTTAAAAAAGTGTTCTCAGAAATGAGTTATCATGCGTGAAGATTCATGGCTTTCAAGCCAAATGATCAATCTTATGGCCACATTCATGGCATAGTTTGTTCAAATGATCTCATATTGTGCACGAGGGTGCATCTTGGAATTCTAAACAATGTTGCCTAAGAAAGTTTTCATTTTCTTTGCACGGAAAATTCATTTTTCATTTTCCGAGTGCCCAAAAGGAGGTTTTTTTGTGAAGGAACTACCAAATAATTGTTGCAAAATTAGACCTAATCAATTTTATAAAATACTAGGCCATATATAATGCACAATTGACAAAATGGTTGGGTGCCAAAAAATTTGATCCACCTCTGGTGAAAAAGACAAAATTCCCATCGATTCAGTTGGAAGCGGGTCAAATTTGAACATCAGCTGCGTCATAGTTTGCTCTTTATTTTTTCCAAAAATCATTTCTAGGTAAATAAGTATCTATTTAATCAGAAATGCATGGTTTGATGGCGAGACATCGAGGTTTGGATGGTGGACGAGGGCCCCAACTCTAGAGCGCGTAAGCTCGCATGCCTGCCGCGTGGTCACCGCGTGACCGTGGTGTTGCCATGTGTTCTGGGCGGCCTAGGCATGTCTAGTGGGTTGGGCACTCCCCAGGTAGGTGCTAGGAAGAAAATCAGAACATAAGATTCTCACGAGGAGACCGATCGATGCTCAAACATGAATAAGCAGCTAAGTGTTTGATTTGCGGTACGGGAAATGCACATGGCTAATGGGCGTGAGTTTTGGCTGAGGATGATCAGTTACTAAGAAGACCGTCTTCACAAATTTTCACCTCAAAAGGAGGAGCCTAGGTGGTACTTGCTTTACAAACTACCACACTGGACATAAATACGAATGTTGAAGCTGGGCTCAAAATAATGAATGGATTGAGCTAGCATTTGGTGGAGGATGGTTATTTGGGCATAGGAAAGCACTGTAGAAAATGGATACCATTTGGACATGCCAAAGTGGTACTTCCTTCACAAAGTGCTGCTCTGAACAGAATAGGAAAATGAATATTGTTGAGTTATTTTTGAACTAGGCAAGGAAGTTTTTTGACATATTTGATGAAGATATGATCCAAACAATTTATGAGATTTTTTTGGGAATTTTTGGAATGACAGAAATATAGGTTGCTTCACAACCTAGGGCAAAAACTGCCACATGGACATGACACATAGGCAAAACTGATGAGGTGGCGCCTAGTCATCACAACCAACCACAATCTACAAGGCTATGACTATTTATTTTGGTCGTTAACAACTAGAAATAAGGCAGCGGCCAGCCCTGGTTGCTTTGTGACCATTTGGTGTAAGGAAATTACGACCTTTCTGACCAAAATGGTCGCAATGGTTTAGGGTTTGGAGCCCCCCGAACAGCTTTTGACCAATTGGTCTCAAATGGTCATATATCTATGACCAATTCTTCCAGGGTCACTGACAAAAGGTCACTAGTTGACATATTTCTTGTAGTGAGCATGCATATTTGTACGAGAACCCTAAGCGGGAACATCAAAGACAACATAGCACCAATATAGCTAGCATGCCCATGAGCCCTAAGCATGAACATGAAACACACATCAATCTAGATAACATGCACATGAACACTTAGCGGGAACATCAAAGATAGCAACAATATGGCTAACATCATGAACACATTGTTGCGCGTGAGCACTAATCATGAACATCAAACACAATCTAGCATGCCCAAGAACACATTGTACATCATGAGCACTAAGAAGACACCAATCTTGCATGCCTATGAACACTACTAAGCATGAACATCAAACACAACACCTATTTGCCATGCCCATTAACACATTGTACATCATGAGCACTCCAATCTTGCATGCCTATGAAGACTACTAGGCATGCACATCAAACATAGAAACTACCCTGTCTATGAACAATACCACACAAGAAGGGATCAAATCGAACCGATTCACTGGCATGCTAATGATGAAACCCCTAACCTACAAATTACGAGCAGAGGGAGATTTGGTTCTTACCGGAGTGGATGTAGCTCGAGCATACGCCGGCTGGGGAGAAAACCCGGGCGGAAGGAGATGGCGGATGAAGAGGAGGAGCCGCCAATCCCGATGGCCGTGCTCGTGGCCACGTGCGCGGTCGAGGAGGAGGGCGCCGACACCCATTGGCCTGCCACGATGCCCGGAGAAAACCCTTGGGTGGGGGTAAACCAAAAATGGCCTGCCACGACATCCATTGCCCCCCCTCCCGCCCCCTCCCCTTCCTCTCGGGCGAAGCGCCGACGCCGCCATTAAATCCACATCTTCCTACCCACCCCCGCACCTCACCGAGCTCTCCCCGCCCCCAATCCACAGCAGAGAAAAAGCATGACCGGAGCGCGACGCCGCGGGGTGCGGGTCTGCCGGCTTGTGCCGATGGCACGGGTTGCGGAGCCGCGGGCGCTTCCACCGCCAGCTGCAGTGCCGCTGCCCGAGATCGATCCGCACTCGCCGGAGGCTCGCCGCGAGATGAGGCGGGTGGTGATGGAGCGCTTCCCCGACCGTGACATGTGGGGGGAGATCCACATGCACATCCTCCGCCACGCGAACTTCGTCGAGCGCGCGCGCTTCATCGGAGACGACGGTTGTGAGGATGTGGAGCTCCTCTTCTGGGCGATTCAGGAGGCGGAATCGTTAGATCCGCGGCAGGCCGCCCGCTGGGAGAACTTCAGGACGGCGAACCCCTCGAGGCTCAACATCAGGCCGCCTTCGTGGGAGGGGATCACCAGGATCCCGCCGGAGTTCATCCCTGCAGGGACCGTCTGGCCCCCGCGTCGTCAGTAGATCGTCTTCCCCAACCGGTTCGGGCACAGCGACGAGCCATTGATCCTCCTCCATGGCCGGGTGAGTTGGGTTTACACTTTCGTGCTAATTCAGCTCTTAAAGCTAGGCTACGGGATTTTCGACTGCGCCGCCGGGGGATGCATAAGGGTGTTTGTTCGATTGAACAAATGGTTTCAGTTCCTAATGCATTAGTTCAGGGTGTGGAGTTAGATTCGGGGGTTCTCCCTCTTGGCTTCCATTATAACAAGGAATCTGATGCTGCTTCTGCGGCGGGCGAGACCTCGTCGGAGAATTTTTCCGGCGACGGTCTCGGCCAGGTTTTAAATCCCAACCCCGTCCCAGGAACGGGGGCTCTGTGCCTTTCCCGTGGGGTGAATCCAGCTTTGCCTGGGCCCACGATCAAATTGCGTGTCGTTGCGGAGAAAGCGGAAACCACGAGGGGATTACGTAAAGCCGAAAACCTAGAAAACGTTAAGGAGCACTTTGGCCAGCTCTGGCTCATTCCCTCCCCCCTCGTCGCCGCCCCCCAGAAACCCTACCCCTCG